TGGAAAAGCTTTCATCAGATTTCTAGTTCTTTCCAGCTTTGATCCTATCTTTCCTTCATTCGGTAAGATGTTCTATCATTTCATGTATACTTTAAAAAAATTTTTTTTTTAATGTTTATTCATTTTTGAGAGACAGAGACAGAGTGTGATTGGGGGAGGGGCGCAGAGAGAGGGAGACACAGAATTCAAGAAAGGCTCCAAGCTCCAGAGCTGTCAGCACAGAGCCCGACGGGGGACACAAACCCACAAACCCACGAGATCATGAGCTAAGCCGAAGTTGGACACTTAACTGACTGAGCCACCCAGGCACCCTCATGTATACTATCTTTAGACTCCAAGTCAATCAGAGAATGAAGTCATTATGTTGCTATTGATCTTGCTCACTATGGCAGTACCTACATGCAGAATGAGGAGGCTATAAAGGTGCAAAATGTGTGACAGCTGCATGTTTTAGAGACATCATTTGTCGTTTTCAGAAGTATCTCACGTGTGGTGTAGCAGGAATCTCAGCTTAAATCTAAGCTGGGTCTGTTGCTGGCTTCCAGCATGTCTGGGCATGTCTGGCAAACTGGTGAGGCAGGCCTGAAAGAAACCTGCTGACATGGGGGCTGAAACTGCTTCCTAGAACAGAACTCATTTTAGTGGAAGAGAATGAGACAGAGAAGCTCTATAAGAAAGACTTAGTCATTGGATGGGGAATAATAAATGCAGCTTGGGGTGGCTGTTACTGAAATCTGTCGCCAATCCAAGGCCCATGAAAGCATGTCTGGGTGCCTAAGAGAAACAGAGCTCTGAGTAAAAACATAAAGAGCTATTTCACTGAAAACCTTCTCTGATATTGGGCACAGCAGTCTGCCTCGGGGTTCCCCTAAAACGGGTCCACACAATCATCTCCATTTCTGCAGGCTACACTGTGGCTTTGCCTGCTTTGCCTGTGTCACAGGTCCCAGAATGGAGCCTGCAATGCCTAGAAGAGGCCCCTGGGAGAAGAATGTGTGAGTATATGAAAGACCTCGCACCCCAGAGGCTCCTGGAAAGCCAGAGGGGTCCTTACTTTGTTAGTAGGCTTGGCAGGTAGAAAAGCAGAGGAATTCAAATAACTGCTAATCCAACCCCATTAGTACTGTGGTCGATGGGTTTGAATACTATTCCTAATCAAATAGTTCTTATGCAATGGTGTATTATCTGGTAACTTCTAATATGCATAGAATCACCTATTCTCCTAGCGGGAAGAAGGGAACTATAGAAGCAGTGATTTTCAATCTGCAAAGGACCAGTATTTTTTTTTTTTTCCTTAAATTTAGTGGACTGATACTTTTGCAAAATATAGTAAAAGTGAATTACTAGAATAATAGAATAAACTGGTGACATCAAAACATAAGCCCCATTTTTTTATTATTAGATTCAGTAGGCATAAAATTACTCTGTCAAGTGGTTATAGAAGTTTCCAGAAGCTAATTTCAGTACTTTTCTAGCTACAGACCAGTAACAAATAGTTTATGGAGGTGCACTGGTCGGTAGACAGTGCTTCTGGTGGTCCTATCCACCCACCTCTCACCTGATGCCGCCGGAAGGAAATCCATCATCCACAAGTCTGGCCTCTAGCCACACACTTCAGTGAGTGGGATAATGACACTTTAACATTGTGGTTATGTAGGAGAGTGGCCCTGTTCTAAGGAGATACATGCAGAGTAATGATCTGCAACTAAACCCAGATGGAGAGAGAAAAGGAGAGGGGGTAGAGGTAGGGGTTAGAAGAGAGGAAGGGGGAGGGGTAAAGTGGAGGGGTAAAGAAGAGAGAAGAAGGGGCACCTGGGTGGCTCAGTTGGTTAAGTGTCCAACTCTTGATTTTGGCTGAGGTCATGATCTCCTGGTTTGTGAGTTTGAGTCCCCTATTGGGCTCTGCACTGACAGTATGGAGCCTGCTTGGGATGCTCTGCCTCCCTCTCTCTCAGCCTGTCCCTTGCTCTCTCTCCAAATTAAATAAATAAATTTTAAAAGAGAGAGAGAGAGGAGGAGGGACTGAGAGACAGAGGAACACAGACTGTGCTAAAGTGGCAAAATGTTAATAATTGATGAATCTATACAAATGTATAGTGGTTTATTATTTAATTCTTTGAAATTTTCAGAAAATTTGTAATTAAAAAAAAAAAAAGTCTCTGGGGATGGGTGGGACCTGAACTTTAGCCAGTTCCAAGATAGCTCATTGTATTCTCCAAGTCCAACAAATACTGCAGCTAATGCATTCACTTGTCGCTTTGATACCTGCCATTTCCACATGTTGAATCCCCATTCACTTTCACTCTCTTCACACTTTTCTTCTTATTCCCTATGCATTAGCCACCGTTACAAATAACTTCAATCATATCAGCACATCTTTAAAAAACAAATCTCAGTGTATGTTGTCTTCCAAAGTCAATTTGTTCAAGATTTTATGCAATCTAATCTTAAAGTCTTTTTTAGTTTTCTAGATTGCTTTCTCATGGTTGATTAACACTGTCCAGAATAAATTTTTATGTGTTTCCATGTTTTTATTTCTCAGTCCTAGAATTCCCCCTCACATAGAATTCTATCCATCACTCTTCAAGATTCAGCTCAAATTAATTAAACTTACATGTAGTTATATATGTTACTATACAAATTTGTTCAAATCCTACATCCTTTATGAAGTTTTCCTTGATTAGCTCAGCTAAATGTTAACCCTAATTTCCAGGGTTTAGTACAATGCCTGGCACATACACTTAGTATACACTTTTCAGTTAAACTCTCTGATAGTACTTAATTTACAATATAGGATAGGACATTCCTTGTCTTTCTCAAAGAGTGGCTTTGAGGCTGAAATGTTTGAGGTTAGGATTTTGCATTGTATGTGTGTCTCAAGGTATTTGTAAACCATAATGCCCCATACTATTATTTAAAAATTGTTTGCTTTCCCTTGAGGCAACATATGGAACATATAATAGCTATCCAAAGGCCTAAGGCAGCAGATACAAAACTGGAGTACTCATGGTCTATGAAGACTTTTCAAGATGTGTATGAGTAGGAGACTACTGTTTTAACATAATCAGTTCTCAGATCCTCACTTCTCTCAGGTGGCTGTCTCTAAAAGTGATCTGCCTGAAAGTATGTCTCTGGGGTCAGAGTGTAAAGTTCTTTCCAGCCTTCCTTATCCCAACCGCCCCTCCCCGACTTTAAAAAAAGAAAGGCATAATTCTTCCCCATCCCAAATTTTACCTAGGTGCAATACCCTGGGGCGGGGTGGGGATGGGGGAGCAAAAAATCTCTAGGACATCAGAAAAGGAACAATTGACTGGTAAATGAGAATGGGTAACACATCCTTTACAAGTCTCCTGGTTTCAGGTTACTTGCTTTCAACAAAGTTTATAAACTAATAAGAGCTGTCAGCTGACCATTTTTGTTAGGGGTACCTGGGTGGCTCAGTCGGTTAGTCTCTGACTGGCTTAGGTCATGACCTCTAGGCTCAGGAGTTCAAACCCCACATCAGTTACTCTGCTGTCAGCACAGAGCCTGTTTCAGATCCTCTGTCCCCCTCTCTCTGTCCCTCCCCTGCCTGTGCTCTCTCAGAAATAAATAAAACATTTAATAAAAAATGAAAGTACTTTTTGTTAGATCTTTATGTAATTTTTTTTTTTTTTTTTTTGGTATATAACTTGGAAAGGGTTCAAAGATTCGAGTGGCATTACTAAAAACTCCATTCATTTTCATCCACTCATTTTTGGAAACAAGTTTCTTCAATGCATGCATCCATGGAATTGAAAACTTGGAATAGAATTGATGCTGAACTTGTTCTCATTCTAGTAATTACTCATCCACCAATAAAATAGACTAGTTGGAACTAGGAGTTCCATCTCTGTAAGATGCATTTCCAACAAAATTTAACTTTTGTGTTTAATACTTACATACATGTAAGTATTTAAAATATGTGTTTTGATCAATTGAAATAATAAGATTTAGGATTTTATAACAGGAAATTAAAAAACCCTTAAGTTTCAATTTATTTCATTTTATTACAAGGAAATATAAGATGATCAATACAATAGTTCAAATAGGACATTCATTATTAGTATAAAATTCTGAAGGGGATACCGAATATAAAAGAGTTCCAGAAGATAAAGGAAGGATGGAAATTAACCAAGTAGAAAAGAAACTGTATTTTAAAAAGTGGATATTGGTGGATATTAAGTCCCTGCAGTATTTAGAGTTCATTGGCTACATTTAAAAGTGTGACAGTTATAAAATATTTATAACAAGCTGAAGAAAAATGTATATTTATTTTTAAACTATATTAAGGATGTACAAAATTGTTTTACAGGACTCCTGAGCTAACAAGTTTGAAGATCTTGAACATAAGACACATTAGCTCTGATACTGATTTAACCATTTCTTGGGGTATTCAAACGAAGGTTGGACCAAAACCTGTGGCTGCCCGTATGGATTTAGTACTTTGCATTGTATTACTTATTTTTATCCATTTTAAAGATCTCTCCTCGTAGATTACAAGCTCTCAGAAGCCCAGGGCTCATTGCCTGGCTCACTGCCGGTACCCAGGGGCACTCCCCAAACATCCCCGGAATGAATGACTTTATCGTGAGAACTCAGACGGCTGTTAAAATCCCCGGCTAGCACTCAAGCTTTCGTTCTGCGTGTCCTGGCGGCTGCGAGGAAGGGGAAGGCGTGGGAAGGCCCCAAAGAAACTCTGAGGGCTCGGCGGATCCGGGCGGGTGCCGGGCGGGTACACGGGTGGGGGCGCGGGCGCGGAATCCGCGGCCCGGGGGAGGCGCTACCTCGTGCCGCCGCGCAGGCGCGCAACCGTCTCCGCGTGAATGCGCGCAGTCGCGCGCCTGTCCCCGCGCGGGCTCCGTAGCGCGTGTGTAGGCTGACGCAGCTCGCGGGCCCTCCTCCTGCTCTGCAGCGGCGTCGGCGGAGTTTTGGGCGTTTGGGAGGGGGCGAGGGAGCTCGAGTCGGGAGAGGGAGGCGGCGGCGGCGGCGGGGAGGAGGAGGAGGAGGAGCAGGCGCCGCCATGGCCGCCGCTATCACCGACATGGCCGACCTGGAGGAGCTCTCTCGCCTGAGCCCTCTGCCCCCCGGCAGCCCTGGCCCGGCGGCGCGGGGCCGGGCTGAGCCCCCCGAGGAGGAGGAGGAAGAAGAGGAGGAGGAAGAGGAGGCCGAGGCCGAGGCGGTGGCTGTGCTGCTGTTGAACGGCGGCGGCGGCGGTGGGGGCGGCGGCGGTGGCGGCGGAGTGGGGGGCGGCGAGGCGGAGACGATGTCGGAGCCGAGCCCCGAGAGCGCCAGCCAGGCCGGGGAGGACGAGGACGAAGAAGAGGACGAGGAGGAGGAGGACGAGAGCAGCAGCAGCGGCGGGGGCGAGGAGGAGAGTAGCGCCGAGAGCTTGGTGGGCAGCAGCGGCGGGAGCAGCAGCGACGAGACGCGCTCGCTCAGCCCCGGCGCCGCCAGCAGCAGCAGCGGGGATGGGGACGGCAAGGAGGGCCTGGAGGAACCCAAGGGACCGCGGGGCAGCCAGGGCGGCGGCGGGGGCGGCAGCAGTAGCAGCAGCGTCGTCTCTAGTGGCGGCGATGAGGGCTACGGGACCGGGGGTGGCGGAAGCAGCGCGACCTCCGGGGGCCGGCGAGGCAGCTTGGAGATGTCGTCGGATGGGGAACCCCTGAGCCGCATGGACTCGGAGGACAGGTCAGTGCACTGAAGCGTTTTCCCTTCCCTTCCTCCTTTTGCACTCATGGGCCCCTCAGAGGGGGCCGAGGGGACTTTTTGCTGAGATCTCCCCGCTCCCCAAATCTTCAGCCCTTCCCCCAGGTTCTCAACTCGCAAATCTCTCCTGGTCGCCGCGCCCCTCTCGCTGCGGATAGCCGCTTCCAACTCTCAAACCATTTCCCCCCAACTCTCCTTTCCCCGCCCTCTTTCCCCTCGGCTCTACACTCTTTACGAACGTAAGGACAGCTCTAACTCCGAAACAATCCTCAAAGTAGGCCCAGATCCTCTGGCAGGGCTTAATAGGGTCTTGATGTACACACCTCAGTACACAAGGTTAGCTTCATCCAACCGTGTTCGCGAACACTTGTCAGAACTATAATTGACAAGTGTTTTCCAACATGGCTGGTCTCGCCTGGATTTAACAGAACTTCCTTGTTCGGGGAGGAGACCCCAACTATCACTTTTCGCTACTTAATAGGGAAAAGACTAGTCTTTTATATTTAATCAGTGCTTCTTAAATTCCTCATGTGTGGTCATTAATATGATCTCCATACTGATTTTAGTAGCTTCTATTTGTGATCAAACCTGGGAGAAAGTTTAAAACAAGTATAAATTATTGTAGAAAAGAATAATGAGCTGATATCCTTTAAAGTAATTTTACGGAATCAAAGAGTTGGAATCATAATAAAATACAGTCTGGAAGGAAACACTATTAGTGTGTGGTTTATAATCTTTATATAGTAGTGCTTTAACATGGATGTCATGATTTTAGAGGATAATATTTAAAGTCATGTATTGGAGAGCTCGCTGAAGAAAGTAACATTTTTTTAAAGCTTGTGAGAAATAACGTGGATACCAACAAAAATAAGCTTCATTTTTTCAAGACATTAAAATTTATTAGTATGTTTCAGTTGTTATTACTTTTGATCACTTTGGAAACTAATTGGTTTTTAATGTACTTTTTTAAGCACAGAGAACCATGTCATGTATGTTCTGCTTCTAAAGTATACTAGCATGTATTTTGACCATCTAGTATTTTGATGAACAGTAGAATTTTTAACAATCCATATTGATTTGGCTTGAAAAGCTTTATTCTAAAGTTCTAGAAATTCTGATTGGTAACTGATAAAAAGACCATTTTGGTTCATATTTAATATTATAAGGAATACCAAGCTTTAAATATTATGAAAATACAGCTTTAGATACAGCTAGTGAGGAAAACATCTTGGATGGGCTAAAATAGACTACAAAAATTGTACTAAACTACATAGGCATGGCAGGAAGGAGAATGTCTTCAAGACCACTAAAAATTGATGAGAACCACACAATGAAGTATATGTTATTAATCATTTTATTATATCCTCTTTCATTGGTACCAGTAGACGTTTGAAAGTTGATATTAGTTTATACAGTTAGCATCTACCATAGTTCTTCCATTTATCTAGAGTGCGGACACACACACACACACACACACTTAGTACTGCACAATTTAAATATCTCCGCCTCATTCGCACAACTCTGGTGCAAGACAGGTATTATTTTGACTTCCATTTAACAGATGAAGAAGCAAGTTGAGTGTCTTACTCAAAACAGTAAGTATAGAATGCAGGTGGTAGAGCTGGATCTGAATAAAGTACATTATCAAGTCCCCTGCTATTTCCATTTCACAAGAGTAAAAATACTTCACCTTAAATAGCAAGGTGTATGTGTCAGGATTTTTTTTTTCTTCATCTTGTTTTTTTTTTTTTTTTTTTTTTTTAAATATCTGTCTACTACATCCCTTTAGGGGATGATGGTTGGTCAAGTAGTATTTCAGGAAGTGGAGTTTTGACTTCATATTTGTAAGGTATACACTGGAATATCTAATTTTACATCATATTTCAGAGTAAGGAGTAAGAGATATTAGAGCCACAAGTCCAAATAAGGTTCAGACCTGATAATCAAACATACTTGGTTTTCTTAATGCTTGAACATAAGAGACTACAAAATATCGTAATCATTTTACTGTTTCAAGTAATCATTTTACTGTTTCAAGGTAATAAATTTATCACTTGTATGAAAAAGCTTTACTGGTGAAGCTGGTTATGGTGGTCTTGATAATCTTAATTCTGAAATGACCCCTTGTTGCCTTTTAAGTTTTTTTTTTTTAAGAGTCCTTTTAAATTTGGGAAGGAATCATAGTTCTTATGAACTGTCCTGCAGATTACACTAATCTATGTGGATTTTATAAATTGATTTCATGGTAGGAGGTGTATATTTTTGTAACCGATGGAAAGATATTGTGGTTTTAAAGTGCTTTTAAAAAACTTGAGGCATTCCTATCAAAATGATTTTATCATTAGAATTTACTGTTTCTTTTAGAATGCCATTCAGTTTTTCTCACTTTGAAATGAGATCATGCTTTTGAGTTTATCTAGCATACTTTAGAATTTGTTGAAATATCTTAAATATTTTTGACTGTAAGTGCTTCTTTTTAAGAAACATTTAGATATAAAGACTTAGATATGAAAGCTCATGATCCAAAGTGTCAGTCTACAAGTGTGTACTCTAAGTGTTGTGTGGTGAAAAGTGACTAATTTATAAAATGAATAAATGACACTTGGTACAAAAACATTGGTTATTTTCCCTGTGAGAAAGTTATTCAAAACCAGAGTAAGTGTGTTATTAGTGTGTTTATTTTGATAAAGTTAGAAAAAGAAATGTAATTTCTTTTCTTTGGAGGAATATTGAGCTGTGCAAGACCATTAAAAACTAGTTTCTCTTTTACTTTGAACCTAAGCTTAAGTACTTTTTAAAAAATTACCACTTAAAAATTATAACCTTTTGGGTTACTTTAGAGGCTAATTAATGTTTAAATAGAATTTTAGAATTTAAAATGTCTCTGAAATTTTTTTAGTTGACAAATTTTAGCTATTGAGTCAGATTATACAGTGAAAATATTCTTACCTTCTTATCTGTATAAGTGAACTGATAATAACTTTTTTGTGGTTGTCTTTTTGTATATATGTCTCTCTATATATATTTTCAACTAGAATAGAAACCATGACTTATTTTGAAAAAGCCAATACTACTTTTCAGCCACTTTTATCAGCCTTTCTGGGTAAGTCCAGATGTCAAGTAAAAGGGCATGTGTAAGGATGGGATGATAGGGAAGGGCATATAGTTTGAAACTTAATGATCAGGAAGGCCAGAGGCCCTTACCATTTTGTGGATCAAAATTTGGAATCCCAGCCTTACAGGTTGCAAACTTTGAGGTATAACTAACATTGCTCAGATGCTGGTGAGATAGACCTATATTGCCCAATTTCTCATTAGTATGATTTGGAAGATCTTATGACATAGAGGCTACCCAGTCATTCATTCTTTCATTTATTTAGTTCTGAGAGATAACCTGAGTGTGTGTGTGGGGGGCAAAACGAGAGGGAGAGACAATCTCAAGCAGGCTCCACAGTGTCAGCCCAGAGCCCAATGTGGGGCTCTTCTCTGTCTCTCATGACCAACCATGAGATCATGACTTGAGCAGAAATTAAGAGTTGGACACTTAACCGACTGAGCCACCCAGGTGCCCCTTGGACTTCTTTTTAAAAAAAAATATTTATTTTGAGAGAGGGCTTGTGCAAGTGAGTGGGGAGGGGCAGAGAAAGAGAGAATCCCAAGTAGGCTCCATGCTGCCAGTGCGGAGCCCCACAAGGGCCTCCATCTTAAGAACCATGACATTGGGACCTGAGCTGAAGAGTCAGATGCTTAACCAACTGAACTACCCAGGTGTCTCCATGATGAACTTTCAGTATTTGCCGCTTCAACTCTGAAGCAGCTGTCTATAGGCTCTGAAATCATTCTTTAAGCTACCTTTTTATTTTGATTAGGGAAAGAAGCTTGTAGTAGCTCTCAGTTTTCATTGATAATCTGCAACTCTCAGTTAAGGAAGGTATGGCTCTGTGCCAAAAACAAACCATGAAAAAAACTAGACTTCAGGGTTGAATTTATGGAGAGATTCTAAGGGGCCATTTTACTTTTAAGAAACATAAAGACTACTATGTTTAGTCACTTAGAGAATCCTGTGTGTAAGTTGACTTACTAACCAAACAGGTATTTACTATGTGCAGGACTCTTTACTGAGTATTGTGGAAGATGGGAGGAAAAAATACTTCCCACTTCATGTTGCATATTGTTGTGAGACTTAATTCCAACTGTAGGTTTTGCTCTAGTTCCTAGCACAAAACTTCATTGGCTCTAATGTAAACAAAGTCAAATTTCACACCTTGCCAATTGTATTAGCTGTTTATTGCCGTGTAATAAATTTGTCTCAACTTTAGCAACTTCAGGGAACAGAATTTCTTACCACGTGTGGTTTCTGAGAGGAGTGGATAGGCTTAACTGGGTGGTTCTGGCTCAGGGTTTCATGAGGTTGCAGTGAAAATGTTGGCCAGCATTGCAGTCATCTGAAGACTTGACTGGGGCTAGAAAAGTGTTTCCAAGATGGCTCACTTATTGTAGCACTTGGCAGGATGCTTCAGTTACTCACCAAGTCAATATCTGTTTGTGTGTGCTCCTGACATAGCAGCTATTTTCCCTCAGAGTAAGTGATCTGAGACAGCAGGAAGAAGCCACAAAGGCTTTTTATGACCTAAATATACCTGCTTATGTTTTATTCTTCCTGTCTTTTTATTCAGCAGAGAAGTTTTTCCTATTTTTCTTTTCATTCATACCTTGTTACACAATAATTCTTTCAGATTTTTTCACTGAGGCCACCTTTTAAAACCCATCAAAATGCCACAACGAATCCTTTCCTGGTTTTCATTTCTTTTTCCTTTTAGTTCTCACATATGTATTTTTTGTCTTTTTTCTCTCCCAGCCTATGGCTCTATTCTATAGGTGGAGAGGTGTAGAATATTTCAGTATTAAGAGCATGTAATCTGAGTTAAAGGAAACAATTCAGATCTTTGTATTATGATTTTAAGTAATATCTTTGAGTCTTA